GAACTAATTTATGATTGCACACATATTTATAAAATTTGCATTTTAAACTGCTCAGTAGCAGAATGCTTTTTTTCAATTCATGGACTTTACTTGCTGATAGATTTGATTCAGTCTTTGCAAACCAAATCCTCTCTATCTCTCCTAGTTGGGTAATTTGAGAAATTGTTTAGAATAAGTTTGCCTACAGAAGTCTCTTCGTTAAATAGAGCAAACATTTCCCAAAGACTTCATGTGACCTCCATTGCTATATAGTTAACATGTTAGGCTTTCCAATGAAATTCTTGGTGTGTTTGCAATTAAAGTGTTTTCATTGGACATTAATGATGACAATCTTTATTAAGGCCAAAGCCAAAACAAATAGGGCCATGGAAGCAGAAAATCAAGATGTAATAACTTGGTAAAGATCAGTAATTTGGGATTTAAACTGACCCTCCTCTCAGAGACAGGCATAAAGTTATCAAGTATGAAATAAGGAGTGATTTTCTGTTTTATATTACTATAGAAATAATTTGCAAAACATGAAATGTCAGCTTTCTCTATCTTTAATTATCACACCTGAATCATTGAATTCCAAGCCTGAAGGTAGTAGAAATTCACTTATGTCTAATATAATCTTTTTTTTCTTTTCTTTTCTTTTCTTTTTTTTTTTTACTTTTTCACATGTTTGGGGCAGGGTGGGAGTTGGTGCTGAAATTCAGTGTTCCCAACTACTCTTGTGACTACCAGAGAAGTCTTGGGTTGCTAAAGTAACTTTTAACCTAAAGGTATTTTTTACTTGAAGTTACAATGCATTTATTTGTACTTTCTCTAAGTAATATTTTATCCCATTTATTTATCTTAAAATCATCCTCCCAGAAAATCATAGCTAAAAATATTTTTAAATATTTTAATTTAAACTTTGAACATATCATTTCCTAATTTAATGCATTAATAAATTAGCAATAACATGGTTTTTCCTCAAAGAGCCAACCCATCAAGACATTTCCCCAACAGACCCCATAGTGACTCCCTTAAACTCAAAAGAAGTGTTAGAAAAAATGACCCTTGGTCCTAGAGGTTTTATTCTGAAAAAAGCAATTTTGTTAGCCTTGTTCAGAGTCAGCTTATGAGATGGAATGGCTATGCCTTGCTTGTTGTTGGAACCAAGATAATGTTGCCAGAACTGGCTACTTTCTCTACTCTCAAGGCTGCTGAAAGTCCTTCCTTAGGCCTTTGATCTCTCCTGGGAGCCTTCGAATTCAAGCAGAGGCCAATGTCTTCCTCAGCTGTCTTCTCCACAAATTTTTCCAGCAGCTTTGGCAGGTACTAATGTGTTTACTTAGGTGTTTCTGGTTCCCAGAGCTAATGGCAGTTTGAAATTGTTTAGCACATTGTGCACTCATATATAATAAGCAAAAACTTCTGGAACAACTCCGTTTGTCCAGGAGTTGACAGTGTCTCAGGTAGAGGCAGAAGTGAATTGAAATGGATGTATCTCTCTGGGTATATCTTCTCCAACTAAGAGAAGTATATAGACTTCCTAAGGTAGGCAAATTTTACTAGTAAAGGAAGCTCTGAGCATCATTTTGCTGGTGTTGTCTGTCCATCAACACTAAGATTGTTGCCATAATGCTTCAACTAAAATAGGTTACCTAAAACACACACACACACACACACACACACACACAACAAAAAACAAGTTGATGATTACTTAAAGGTCTATGCAATTAAAACCTTCTTATAAGTCTACCTTATAAGAAAATCAAACGTGTTTATTTTTATTAAGAACGTAAAATGTAAAATTTAAGTTATCTATCTACTTCACCAGAACCCTGGTGGGCTTTCATTTATAACAACAGGCCATAGCTTGGTTTTCTTCCCCTCATCTGCCTGTTCTGGGGTTTCCTAGCAACGCTGGCATATCATTTCTAACATCCTGATTACTTAATTAAACACATGTGAGTTTTCTCTACTGTAAGAGGTCCCACTTCTCTGGAGAAATAGTAGAAAAGAGTTTGTATTTTTATTATTTTCTATGAGGAACAAAAGCCAGAACCTAATCTGATTTTGAATAAAAGAGAATACCCGAATAACCAGCAGATATTTTTAAGTGGTTTTTAACTTTTTCATATTTCTCTGTTCAACTTCTCCACTGAGAAAACATTTTTTTTCTCTGTATCGCTCACCCAGTTTCCCATTTTTCTCTCACATGTTTTCCCTAGGAAAAAAGCAGCAGGACCGCTCCTGAATTTGGGAGCCCTAGGCATCTTTGAGGTGCTGGCTTCCTATGTATACTGCCTCCTATTTTTTTTTATCTTTCTCCTCTGGCCCCTGACAGCAGTTTAAAAGTTTTGTCTTTTTTTATTTTTTTTTACTTTGGTGCTCTGAGACCCTATTTTCAGCACTTGAATCCCAAGGGTCTTCAACCCAGGACCCTGTCTCCCCGCCTAGCTAGTCCCATTAAGCCACCAGACTCTTGTGTTTTCTTGAATTCTTTAGTTCCACTCGCCAGCCACACTCTGGTCAATTTGTTTTGAGATCACCTTACCAAAGACAGCACTGACTTCTGAGAACTACCACTACTGACAGAGCCTTGGAGCGACAGCTTCTTCCCAGGACCGGGAGTGCAGGGCAAGACATCCCGCTTGGCGAGTTTCTGCTCTGCGGCGCAAAGCAGGCGCACGGTGCCTGAGTCGGGAGAAAAACAAACAACACAATTCACCTTTAGAAGCCTAAGTTAGACAAAGGAATGCCTAGTTGCCAATACTGTGTGGCCTGTGGCAAATTGCTACCTCCTCCCTCGTTGAGCTTTGGTTACCCTCTTTAAAAAGTGAATCTAAAAACAAGTAGTTCCCATAGTATCATTGGAAGTAGCAAACGAACGAATAAATACGTGGGTAGGGTTGAGAACGTGCTTCGGCAAATAGAAAAGTCTTAATAATTGTTTGCTACAAATATCCCACGCTGAGGGGTTGGGTACAAAGCACATTCAGTGCCTTGAGGAAAGAAATCAGCTGGAAGGCTTGCAGGAGCCCAACTTCTATCTCCCACCTAAACGTTAAGAGCAACTTTATTTTTGCCCAAATCATAAACCTGCACGTAATTCTGTTGAGCTTAGGCCAGTGTGCTAACATCTGAGCTCCATCGCCAGAGGAAGTGCTGGCATTGCTGCGGGCCAGAACCTGTGGGATCTGGCCGAGAATTCCTGGGTGAGAATATCTCCCCACTATAGTATTTCAGAGGCAGCAACGTGCACAGATGCGAATGTTTTTACCTGGGTGGATACAGCCTTCATTCCTCCGGCGTCCTTGAGGACACTGATTCTGTTATCTGGTGTGGCCCTGGGTACTGTATTCATGTCAAAAGCATCCACTTGCTAAGAGTCCTAAATAAGATGCAGACGGATTTCCCACTGGCCAGACAATTGGGTGTTCAAAGTGTGGTGGTAGCGGTGTCTTTGCCTTAGGGATGGCAAAACCTGGGCGAGGGACTGCTACCAGCACCCTGTAGCAAACCTTAGTGCCTGGCACTCTCCCACCCCTGGTTTTCCCGGCCTTCATTTTGGAGAGCGGATCTCACCCTGAGAAGTTAGCACTTCTCTGGCCCCTGCAGACATGGGATCAGCCAGTCAGGGTTCCTTTAGGAAAATAATTGCAGGAAAAGTAGTAGAAAGGAAAGCACCACACTACCCCCAAGTAACTTTGGAGCCACCACACTTACTGTAGATCCGGCTGAGAACAATCCCTCCGGTTTTAATAGGGACTGCAAGCTCTGATCCAAAACCCCAGTCTGCTTAAGTCTGTTTGTGTAAACCTTCATCAATTGTTTTTCCTACCGATAAGCAGCAGGACCCCCAACCCCTAGTGATCTGACGTGGGCGAAGGGCAGAGGAGGACCTGGCAAGAGCTGATTAATAGATTTATTCTTGCTTAAGTGACAGCCCTCCCCTCTCCTCTTCTACCCACCGAAGTTTCAAAGGCCCTCTGACGATGGCTTTTCGGGGAGGCTTTTATCGCGGGAGTGTGTGAAGTTGCTCAGGGTTTGAGCTGGAAATTTTACACGAGCTGAGAGGGATCGCTGTACTGGCAGCTGGGATGCATCTGTAACGGTGTTAGTTTGCCTGAAAGCAGAAAATTAGCGACCCCAAAGCTCGGCTTGGCTGTTTAGTCTGTGGAAGGGACAGGGCGGGGCAGAAAGAGGGGGAGAAAGGAGACGCGCCCCTGGGAAGGGAGTTCACCTTCTAAAACTGCGTTTCTTCTCATGCAAATGCCAGAGATGCGGCTGTGCGGAGCGCAGGCCCCATGAGGTCTAGGGAAGGCCTGGTACAAGGAGGAGGCGCTCGTGAAATGCGTGCGGAACGGGGAAAGGAGGGAGGACTTTCCCCATCACCTGGCCCGTGAGCACACCTCCTGGTAGATGAATAGACACGCAGAGAGAACGCAGAGCTCCCGCCTGCCCCCAGTCACACAGGACTGAGAAAATGACCATCTGATCAAAACGAAATGGAACCATCCAAACTCAGCCCATGACTGAAAGTGTCCATTCAAGTTTTTAGCAACTGTTATTCCGGTCCACTGACAAAAAGAAATCCCGAGATAACTAAAGTTCATTAAAAAGAGAAACAAACGCTTAAGAATGAGGTGATTCCTTTCGTCCAGGCGTGGGTAGGCAGGTGGGCTTTTACATTTTCCAAATTGTGCGCGCAATGGCCAAAAGTTGGAACTCCTTCGTTTCTTTTGTGTGCAACACTTTGTAAGCGAATCAATCTAGAGAGTGCAAGTGAGCGGGTCGGGGACGGTCCCCCCGCCCAGCAGAGAGGCAGTAAAACCATTAGCGTCAAAGGGGCAGCGAACAGCAAATTGTCTCTGGAGGGTAGGCGGGGGTTTGCCCAGACAGCCCCGGTGGGGGTTGCGGTGGGATATGCTAATAGTGCCTGGCCACTGGGGCCGGCCTCCCTCCCTCAAGAATATATAAGGAGCCCTAACCCCGGCCAGGCCGACCCGGGCCGCCAGGCGTCTGCCTTTGTTAATTACCCAGAGAAACCGACCCGGGAGCCTCGCCGGGTTTGCCGGCCCCCAGCGGCACCAGGCTCCAGTTTCTCTCCATCCCTTTCGCTGCTGTCCAGGTGCACCGCCGGCGTCGCCACAGAGGATGGACATGATGGAAGGCTGCCAGTTCTCGCCTTCTGAGTATTTCTACGACGGCTCCTGCATCCCGTCCCCCGAGGGCGAGTTCGGGGACGAGTTTGAGCCTCAGGTGGCTGCCTTCGGGGCGCACAAAGCAGAGCTGCAAGGCTCCGACGAGGACGAGCACGTGCGAGCACCTTCGGGCCACCACCAGGCCGGCCACTGCCTCATGTGGGCCTGCAAGGCATGCAAGAGGAAGTCCACCACCATGGACAGGCGGAAGGCGGCCACCATGCGCGAGCGGAGACGCCTGAAGAAGGTCAACCAGGCTTTCGAGACGCTCAAGAGGTGCACCACGACCAACCCCAACCAGAGGCTGCCCAAGGTTGAGATCCTCAGAAATGCCATCCGCTACATAGAGAGCCTGCAGGAGCTGCTGAGAGAGCAGGTGGAGAACTACTATGGCATGCCAGGACAGAGCTGCTCCGAGCCCGCCAGCCCCACCTCCAACTGCTCCGACGGCATGGTAAGGGACAGCTCTGGTACTTACCCGGGCACCCCTATCTTTCCCCATACTCCTTATATGTCCTTTAAACCAGGTGTGGCAGCTAAATGTTCAGTGATTATTTTCTTGGCAGTTGGGGGTGGGATGGTAGTGGCTGTAAGTCAGTGGTTCTCAACCTTGGCTGCACATTAGAATCACCTGGGAATCTTTATAAAATCCCGATTTCTGGGCCTCATCCTCTAGAAATTCTGTTTCTTTGTTACTAATGTTGTGGCCCCACCCCATAACAAAGAAGCAGAATTTCCGGAGGATGAGGCCCAGAAATCGGGATTTTAAAAAGATTCCCAGGTGATTCTAATGTGCAGCCAAGGTTGAGAACCACTGCTGTAAGAGAAGAGAGATGCCACATTTGGAAAGATGCCAGGAGACAGCTGTTGAACAGGACTTTCCTTTGACTTCCTAGCAGGTTCTAGCTGGGCATTGCAGGAGACAGTTGTCCCGGGACATAGGTGGCTGTGAGGGATCAATCACATATTTCACCATCACTCAGTTTATTTCCAAAATATACCACCAGCGGACCCTGTCGTATACTAACATCTAAGGACATCTCTTTCAAGCCCCCACTGCCCCACAGTTTGTAACTTAATGAGGAAACAGAAAGACATGCATGGGCTGCGGTCCCTGCTCTGCCGAGGCCTGGCTGGAAGGAGATGTTGACGCATTCTTTACAGAGGGCGTCTGCTCCAACACTGCCAGGTTTTAATGTGTTTTTGCCCTGGGAAAGTGTTCTCTCCCTGAATTAGTGTGGCTTCCTTCTACTCCAATCCATTTTGCATGGTTAACCCAATGCACATGGCTGCTGAACTCCACCCCCTCTCCCCCTGGCTGCTGCTTTCCTCTTGTCCAAGCACAGAGATTGACCTCGGTGCCCTTGCAGTTTGGTGGGGCTAACCCTTCCTAAATCAAGGCAATGAAGGTGATTGACAGTGGTCAGTTTAGGGAGCTTGGTGGGCAAGCCCTGCCTTCCTCTAGAGCAGAGAATTTTTTGCCAAGACCTGAAAACAAGCTTCTTCTTTTGTGTCTTATATTACAGCCTGAATGTAACAGCCCTGTCTGGTCCAGAAAGAGCAACAGTTTTGACAGCATCTACTGTCCTGATGTACCAAATGGTAAGAATTGATGGCTTCAGAAGAGTTTAAAGACAAGTTCACCTTCACAGTTAGAACCTGTCAAAGCAGTCCCTCTTTCCCAAAGTATCCAGGAAGGGAATAGATTGATGGTTCTTATGCAGAGATCTTGGCAGAGCAAAAGGGACACACACACACACACACACACACACACACACACACACACACTTTTAAAAAAATCAAAATCCACCTAACAGATACACACACGTGCACTTTTTCTTGCAATAGTACTAGAAGGACTTTTCACTCCCTACATTCACTGCCAATGAATTGCTCGATATTTGTTGAAGATTTCTACATCAGGCTTTCTGAGACCAGCTGACCCCTTGGTGTCAAAAGAGCTGAACTACGGTTTAAAGGGCAACAACATAAGCAAGGCTATACATTTGGGAATTTCTTTTTAATGATTTTCTCTTTGTGTCCATAGTATATGCCACAGATAAAAGCTCCTTATCCAGCCTGGATTGCTTATCCAGCATAGTGGATCGGATCACCAACTCAGAGCAACCTGGATTGCCTCTGCAGCACCCGGCCTCTCTCTCCCCAGTTGCCAGCACTGATTCACAGCCTGCAACTCCAGGGGCTTCTAGTTCAAGGCTAATCTATCATGTGCTATGAACTAAAAATCTAGTTTCCACCAGTTCTGCCAGGAGGGCCTACAGAAAGAAGGATGCCCAAAGTGTCCAAAAGCAAGTCGACTCATATATAAAGATTTCCTTTCAGTTGTAAATTTGTACATATTATCTTGCCACTTTATAAGAAATGTATTTAACTAAAAAGTGACCATTGCCATTAATACTTATATCTTTCCTCATCCTTCAGCTCTTTTATTCTTTGCTTTAGATACTTAGTTCCAATAATATTATTTCTGATATGGAGCAACTTATTGAAGGTAGCTTGTTGCAATGCTTAAATTATGTTTTTATTAATATCGCTTATCAAATATTATCTCTGGTGTTTAGATCTTTATTTTTTCTTCAAAACATTAGAACAGCTGGAAATCAGTTATAGGAAAATTTAAATATATTTAATGTTTTTCTCTTTAATCCTTGGTTATATAGTATTAAATAAAAATATAATAATACTGTCTAATGGTACATATTTTATCTTTTCTTATAAGAAATACATCTTTTTAATGTAAGCACAAAATAGTACTTTGTGGATAATTTCAAGATACAAGACATTTTGAAAATTCCACCATAAATAAAATTGTTTAAATGAATAAATATTTTGCTTCATGATTTTTTGAAAGAATGCCCCTAATAGAATTAGCATAGTCATTGACATAAAATCTTTAAGGTAGGACTGAAAATAACAAAGAAGTTGGCTTAGATGATAAATCTGAATATTTACCATCTCATGGACTCAGTTTATGTCCTGTTGATGTCTCAAATTAAAAAAAGCATGTTTCCATTTTAATGATATTTCAAGGGAGCCTGCTGAATAAAATTGTCCCTGTAAGTGCTGTACCATATAATTTCAGTTTATGTGTGTGTGGAGGAAGATAGAAATTATTCAGGACAATAACATTTGCTTAAACAAAAAAGAGCATTACATTATTTTAATACCTATAGTACATCATAAATCATGAATTAGGTAATATTTACTTTATCTACTTGCCTGAAACAAATCTTGATACATTAATGTATTAATGTTTTCAATAAAATATTCAAAAGTATTGAACTGATTTTTTTTGCATTGTTCAAGTGCTGCTTTTAAGAAAACATACACAAATTATATAGTAAAGTGAACCAAACTGCAATTGGCTTCCTTCTTTTCACAGCCTTTTTGATCTTATTAAGCATAGTTTGCGCGCGCGCGCGTGTGTGTGTGTGTGTGTGTGTGTGTGTGTGGTGGGCGTGGGTCTTTTAGTGTTCATCACTTAAGATGAAAAAAATAGAACAATTATGTGGAAAATTAGGTTGAGATTATCATTGGGATAATTTTCACAAGTTTATCATTGAGAGAAAGAAACAAGCAATATCGTTGAAGCATTTAAAGTAACTGTGCACAGAGAACACTACAAATAATTGTTTCATCTTCTAACTTGGACATTCGTTTAAAATTGCCAAGGGTTTATAGTTATATCTGTTAACCAAGCAAAGTGGCCAGACTCTGCCACAGCTTGCCAGTCATACTGTTCTCAGAAAGGGTTTCCCTTCTTTCTGATGTGATTGATTTCTTGAGCTTATCCAGTTATAAGACTTAAAAGAATAGAAATTATTCTATAAAGGGAGGGAGAGGGGGGAGGCTGAGTACCAAAAAATAATGTAGCCACTGTCACTCTGTTAGCATCTGGTCTAGTATGGAATACTGGCTTTTAGCACACAGGCAAGTCTTTTTTGTCCATGATTTGGGAGTGTGAGGAGAATTTAAGAGAACATGATAGAGATTCACATGTAGTTGCAGCATAAGTTGGAGTTATTCACTTTTTTAGACACTGTGCTAGGTACATTGTTCTCCTTTCTATATTTCTATCGCAGGGGTAGGGAACCTTTTTTTGCCAAGGGTCATTTGGATATTTATAAAATCATTCACAGGCCATACAAAATTATCAACTTAAAAATTAGCTGCTATATTTGCTCAGACATTTAATTAACTCACCCCAAGTGCCTTGGCAGGAGCAGACCAATGATTTCTCGGGCCTTACAGGGCTCATGGGCTGGGTGTTCCCCACCATTGTTCTATGGAGAGGTTGCAGTTTTGCTGTTGTTCTTACTAGAATTAGAATAAAAAGGACTATCCAAAGATAGGCTTGTTTTTTAAAGGTCAGTTTTAAAACACATTACCATGCTGAGTTCTATTTAATAAAAGTAAGCAAAGAATATTAGGTAATTTTTAACTCAAGTGAATAAAAATTAACTTTCTTAACCAAACCCCAGTTATTTCTATAACTGGTAGATGTGTTTGCTATTCTCAGTGGATATTATCATGCCTAAAAGTATTTAGTTAAGAGTTTTCCAGCGGTCTGGATTTAATACAGGTGGTGATCAATGTATCAACAAAGACAATACTCTCCCTGCCAGCTTGCTCAACGCATCTCATTTTCAGTGCAGTAACATTGAAGGCTGGTGTCTACTCAGAAACAGCTCAGCACAGCATGTCACTTGCAGTCATGCACACTGTTCTGACATGGGGACTTCAGAAATTGGTTCTCTAGTAGACCAGACACAGAAGTGGGGGGTGGGGGGGGAGGAGTGATATTGGCAAAATAATCACGTAAGGACAGGATTTTGTCATCTATAAATCCCTGAAGTGAACAACTGGGCTGCCACTGATCTCTTATCAGACCACCTCACCTCAGCTGATGGAAAAATACAACCAACAGTCAAATTTCTAGGAGCAACCAGGTAAATGTTCTCTTTACTATCTACAAACCTGATGGGAAGGAGGTTCTTAGGAAATAAGAGTGGAAAGAGACTCCTGGGAAATGCAAACTCACTGGGTTCCATAGGACACTGTCCAGTGAGGTTATGGAAGTGGGGAAGTACTATTTGGAAGCAAGTGGCTTTAGTTATGGTTAAGGTGTCTTGAGTGCTCCTATTTTTTTTCTCATTTGAAAGATGCAAGTCAGATAAGATTAGTGGCTGTATTATACCCATAAGTTCTTTAAGATGGCATTTTTACAAATAATTAATCTGGGAATGGTATTCCTTGAAAATCTTTCTTTGGGTTATAACAATTACTAGGTTAAAGTAGTAATTTAAATATCTGCCTTTCAGAGATGGTATTTCTGGGAATGATGCTAGAGTAAAGCTATTTGTAACTTCAGAAAAGTCCTGCTCAAATGGCAAAGTACCTCTGAAATATCACCACTGAATGTTCCCACATTGTTGCAAAAAAACCACTAAACATCAAATATATCGCTTTTAAGAATTCTAATTAGATATTTTAGTTGACTACTGATTTAATTGTTTAATAATATGGTACATTTGCTGAGCAGAGATCTAGAATTTAATCCAAAGTCTAAACTATGTTTAAAATTTCTAATGTATTGCACTCTTTTTCATTTTACTTGCCACATCTGTAAAATGGGTTAAATGACAGCTTATGATAAGATTATAGTTACCACTAAAATTATTATATTATGTTAAAATATAAAAATAATCTTTTTGTAAAGAAAAGTAAACCTTATTTCCACTTATGATAATTTATTTCATTCAAAACTAAGTGGGAAATAATGATAAAACAGCAACTAGCCATATTGAGTACTTATAATGCAAACTAGAGGCGGGGGGGGGGCGGGGTGGTCCCTCAGCCCGGCCTGGTCCCCCTCACAATCTAGGACCCCTCGGGGGATGTCCAACTGCCAGTTCGAACATCCCTCTTGAAATCTGGGACTGCTGGCTCCTAACAGCTCACCTGACTGCCTGCCTTCCTGATCGCCTCTAACCACTCTGCCTGCCTGTCTCATTGCCCCTAACTGCTCACCGGCCTGCCTGATTGCCCCTAACCACCTCTGCCTCAGCCCCTGCCTCCGTGGCTTCATCCAGAATGACATCCGGAAGGTTGTTTGGCTATCTGGTCTAATTAGCATATTATGCTTTTATTATTATAGATAAGAACATTGAGGCTTAAGGAGCTTAATAATTTGTCCAAGAGCAAATTATTTGGGCTGGCTATTTGGGCTTCTACACAGCACATGTTCCAGGAGACTCAGATAGAAGTTACAAGGCTTCTTATGACCTAAGATTGGAAGTCCCAGAATATTACATCTGCAGCATTCTTCTGGTCAAACAAATAACTAAAGCCAGCCTAGAATCACTGAGAAGCACATTAAACTTCACTTTTCAATGGGAGAAATAGTAATTAATCTGTAGCCACATCTAATCTACCACAATAACTAGTCTACACTTGCTGTCTCTATTTCCTTACCTTTCACCTGTGCCACCCATTCACCAAAATCTGGCTTTGCCTCTGTCACCATCCATGGTCAAGACTCCTTCAAATCTGTGAACTGTTCCTGTGCTGGGCAAGCTTACATCTCTAGCCCAGGTGCCTTCCTTGATCTTTAGACCTGTATGTCCAACTGATCTTTAGACCTCAATGGCACCTCCAACTAAATATGTTTAAATTAAATTAAACTCATGCAGTTCTGCCTGTCTCCCCTACCTTTTAACCTGGCTCCTTTTCCGTGTTGACTCTTCAGTGAATGATGTCACCAGTTATGTAAACATGAAACTTAGGACACACTTCTGATACTTCAATCTTCTTAACCTCTTGTCTAATTCATTACACAATTCTATGAATTTACTCTCCTAAGTCCCTCTTAAAGCTCTACTCTCAATATAAACTATGGTTATCTCTATCCAGGAGTATTATAATATCCTCTTAACCTGTCCCCCTATGTTTTCTCTGGATCTCCCACTTCTGGAGACAACATCCAGTTTTCCTTTTCTCAGGCCATGTGGTTCAGGTGGGATTGACTGTACTTCCTGGCTCCAGAAAAGAGCAAGTCAACAGGCCTGACCTTGAGTATGTTCCCTTCCTTGGCCATAATGGTTGTTTCATAGATAGTCACGTGATCAAGTTATTCCTTAAGTGACAGTCCCTGGTGATAATATGTGATATTTTTTACTGTAGGTTGCCAGCTTGCATTGTATCTCCAGGAGAGGAGATTCTGCCTAAATATAAAGCCAACACAGTAGAAAGCTGAGCTGTAATGCAGAGAGATGTATTCCTGGAAACATAATTAAGTATCTGTATCCTAAAATGCCAGAATACCCGCTCTTGACCATGCTTTCCAATTTTAAAGTCAATAAATAATTTTTGTTCTTAATCCAGTGTAAGTGGGAACTTTGTTAATTGAAACTGAAGGAATCATGCCTAATACCACTCTGATCTTTTCTGCCTATTCTAGCCAGAGAAATCAACTCAAAGTATTCATCTGATCATGTCAATCACCCCATTTTCCTCTTATTTATTGTACATAGGTTAATGATAGACAAAACTTAATGTGACCTTCCAGTTTCTGCATGTCTATCTCCTATCTATCTCTCTAGCATTATCTCTTTCTAGAGGTAATGTCAAAACCCTGCTCTCTTCTCTCTGGACACATAAGGGACTTTTTATCCATCACCACATTCTCTCTTGCCAAAGGAGCTTTACACATTCTCTCCATCTGCAATCCTCTCCACCTTTAACTCATCTCGTCAATTCCCAACCTTCTTTTAGATCTCAACTCAAGCATTAATTCTAAGGCAAATTTTCCTTGAA